CTCATATTATAAGGTAAGGTTATAAAAACCATCTTTTAAGATCATTTTAGTGAAAGTTTCATCCTTCAAGGCGTACCATTCACTGCTCAAATACTAAACAACCTGCTTCCATTGCCAAGATACAGGGCGCTCATATTATAAGGTAAGGTTATAAAACCACCTTTTAAGATCATTTTAGTGAAAGTTTCATATTCCTATCTCATATAATTTAAGAACAATGATGAACAAATCATTTTCGAGCAAAATTTAAATGGACGGCTGAATATATTACCGCCGGAGAGACGGCCACGGAATTTAAATGACCGCGCGAAAGGGTTAAGAGCTTCACATGTCAAAATGAGTTCCCAAAACAGGAGAATCTCACTCTTCATTGACTAGTATGTTGTTCATCCCAAAGACACAACCTACTTAAAGAATGTGAAAGTTATTCCCCCTCTCAAAACTGCAGGAGCATCCTCCAACCACATGACCAGGGAACATTCAGGTTTTTCAAACATTATCACTACAGCCAACTTGTATGAAGATTTCTATGACTGGTCAAAGTTCCTTCATAACACAACACTCATGAAGGTAAATGTTCTGGACACACAATATTTCACTGTGGAACCATGGTACTGTACCACGCATATGACAACAGTGAACTGATTTCAGAAATGTGGACTCAATTTAATACAAACCACTGATGGCAGAGACACAGCAGAACTTTGTGTAGCCAAAGATGACTAGGGTCAGCTGCAAGTGTATCATTTCAAGAACACATACACTTTGATGATGATGTAATGTGTGAGGTGCAGAGCCAGAAAAAATTATGGATGAACAATTTACATCTGATGCATCTGAGGAGGAAGATGATAGTGGGAAAAGAGAACCTCCAGCAACATTTCTCTTGGCATTGGACTGATCCAACACTGTGACCAAATACATCGTGAAGTTTAATGGCAATAACATATGGGAGAAGTAAACCAGATTACATATTTAATGCCATACACTGAACTAGATTATAATTTTTAAAGCAATATATAGTATTTAATGTATTTAATTTCAACAGGAACATAAATTTTCTTGTCCTTGATTTTACATTAAGCTTAAATGGCCCCTTCAGAAATGTAAAATTCAGGTTTTCCTGTATTTCCTTTGGACACGTTAACTGGTCAGCCTTCTAGAGAAGGGTATATTAAAAGTTAAATTTAGAAAGCCATAAAATAATTTCATCCTAACTAAATCAGGATGTTTTTGAATTGCTGATGCATCATTCTAACATAAATTTTTGTCCTCTAACAACATTTACCACTTTCCCAACAGAAGACAGGGAAGTCATGGTAAAATCAAATCTAAAAGTGACTCCATAATGTCAAAAAAGCCAGGACTAATATAAAAACTAAATAAGCAGATAAGTAAGCCATACCTTTTGCGGTCCTTTTGGATTGCCTTTGCACTGAGGGGTCGTTCGTTTTGCATCCGCTCTTCTTCCAAGTCTGTAGATAGGGCAGCCATTCTTGGTAAAGTGCCAAAGTCATCCACAGACTGAAATAATATTACTCTCTAAATTACATGTAATTGGGACATAAGGGGATAAGCAAACACTGAACAAACCCAAATCTTTCACTACCTATCAAAGTACCAAATAAGAGAAACTGTAATCTGAACAGAAAACATACCTTATGAGTCAAAATGAATGGACTAGCTCAATGAATGAAAACACCAAGCTTACAGAAAAACGTGATTATGTGAAATGGAATGAAGTGGTTTAAAGTAAGGTCACTTGCTGGGTTCTTTATTGGTAATGAACTTTGGAATTCCATAACAGATGGGAAGTTCTTGAATAGTTATTGACTGCTAAGGGAAAAGAGTCTATGTTAGGCAAGTCCCTTGTCACTACAGCATGGCATGTTCTCTGGTTGTGGATGAAGACGACAACATCCAGATATGAAGGGTAGCTGTGAATATATTGTCACATGTTTGGAATAGGCACTTCCATGGTAACATAATAACAGTGGGCCGTTGCGTAGGAATTGCAGAAACAACGAAGCAGCGTTTCCCCGGAGATGAACAACAGAAGGCCGTTGAGTAACAACGCATGAGACGAAACTCGTTACCAGTGTATAAAGAGTGTTCCCAAAGCAACACATCGCCGAACACATGAGACTGAACCTTGGCGAGAGGTGTCCTCTACTGAGTCCACAGAACACCTGCATAAGCCGAGAGCCACAGACATCATACAACACAGTTCGGACCTAGTCGCCACACAAGACAGTTGAAAGATAGCCACCGCAGAATACAGTTGAAGTGACAACAATTGTAAGGTGTGTAAGATTGAGTGTCCAACAAAGATTTGCTATATCCGAGACCCATGTGAAGTTATTTGTCGCATGACAATATTGAATAAGCAGTCGTGGACAGCCGACAAGGGGCGGTCCTCCAGCCAAAGGGTCCAGTGTGGGGCTAACAATTGCTCACCGTAAAAAATAAGCTTGTTATGATATGTCACAAAGAGCCTCAGACCTGGACAGATTCTTTGGATAAACGACCTAAGCTAAAGAAAATGGACATGGGATTTGGGATATGAAATGTAAGTACATGCAATGATAAATTGTGTTAGTATTTTCTCTTGGTGGAATACTTTTAATTGTATACTGTCAATGCGGTTGAATGTGTACTACTTACACATCACATAGACAATACAAGTTCTTACAACAGTAAGAACTATACTGACATCATTTAGAAACATTATAAATATGAAAAACACCGATCACAGTAGCGCAGAAGGCATGGCAGTTCCCCCCAAAATTCACTGCATCTGATGATGGCTGAATAGCCCTAAACATGTAGTGCAGTGACAAATTTAAAAAAAGGGTTTAATTTTAAATCTTAACAGTGTTGCATGGTGAAAGGTAAACAAAAGAATCCTTAACACTACCTTCCTTTCCTTCACTACTGAGTGATGGATCGGAAGACTATGAGTGCAGCCAGCATCCTCCGCATACATCATCATCTCCTGGGTGGAGTCCTCAGGAGGATACATGTAACATGATTTCCTATCACCATCTGCTTCCTCCTGTTCAGGCCTCCAATCTGGTATAGATTCCTCTGCTGCTGTTGTGTCATCCTGCCAGTCTGATCCTTGATACAGGTGCTGCATGTAGCTTAGGTCTGACAAGAGCTGCTCCCCTTCCATTGTGAGCTCCTCACGAAGACGACTATATTGCAAACTCCTTACATCAGTTCCACCAGTGTTTGGCTCCTTGTCTAACAATGACTGGGGTACTAAAACACTCACAGGAGGCGACATGTCACACTGACACAGATTTGCTGAGGATCCTGGGCTTGAGTTCCAAATGCTGTACCTATAGTAACAAATATACATTGAAAGATGCCTGCGAATGAACCTCTTATAGTTTACTAATTACATTCACACCATTAAGGGAGGATACAGAAATCTGGGTAAAAACCGGTCAATTATTGCAGTTTCATTTTACTGTTTCAAATTATTCTGATACTGGAAGACTGCAAACATCATCATTTTATACCCCACAGTTATTTCTAAAGGCCATGGAACATGACTTTTATGTTGAAAAGATAATATTTTTAACAGAATAGTTAAAAGAGTTAATTTGTAGGCCAAGTTACATTCAAAAATTGCTTCTTGGAAATTAAAGCTTCATAACTTCAGAGGATTTTGGCAAAGAACTGTCATAGATATGAGGCTAGAATATCCTACTCAACAAGCAGTAAGATATACGAATACAACACTCCCTGCTTCTTAACTTCTGGCTGATCATTTCTCAGAACTCATCTTTTTCTATGCATACCTACAATACTGATATAACTCAGGATCTACTCACCCAATCTGAATGAAATTTTTACCCAATTTCTTTCAACAGATAATAAACATTCTCCAAGAAGAAAACTGTGCAATTTAGAGCATATGAGCTTCACAAAACAAATATTTTTATGCTAAAGAAATTAAATATAATAACCAGAACTAATTTCTAGGTGATGGAAGTTACATACAAAAGAAATCCACTTTGGAGATTAAAAATTTCTCCTTTAAGAGTATTTTGGTCAAAACTAGTCAAAAACCCAAAAGTAGGCCTTTCTAAAAATTTTCATGAAATATTACAAAAATTATGCTTTCCTATAATTTTGATAAAATCACGAAAGGTTCTGCGAAGATTACAACAATGTACAAGTTTTAGTTTTAATTTCAGGATCCTCCCCCCTTTATTTTGATTAGAATCTGGACACTTGAAGTCTGTGTAGACCAACAACTGCTCATCACTCTGCTGGTTCCTAATAAGATTCTTCAACGTGCAAAGTTTTTGTTTGTAAGGATCTGAAGGCAGCTTATACTAAATGGAAAACCTTGAAGAAACTAAGGAAAATTACAGTAAAGAGATGTCTAATCAACTGTCAATTGCTGTTCCATATAAAAAAAATCCTTTACATATATTGCTGCTGATAAAATGAAGGTCTCCATGGTGAGTAAAATGCACACAGGGCATAGCAACATTCCCTGGTATCTTAAGAAATTATAAAAGTATAAGCACTATATAATATTTGAGGTGTGGCACTAGCATGAATTCCAGTTCCCTCTTTTGTTAAAGGCACTTTGTAGCATGTATTGTGGTTAACCCTTGGCACATTTATGACCTGCCCAGTACTGCCTAGCAGCTGGCACAACATACACACAAAAACAAAAGAGCAATACAGTGAAACCACTATTACATTTTTTGCATTGGATTTTCTAAAATTAGATGCAAATTAATTTCTAAGCTTATCATCATGACAAACAACATGATTACACATATTACATATAATCATATAAACACAAATACAGAAACTTCTATTAGTGCAGGATTATCCAAAGCTAATCTCGTTTTCATCTGCTAGTAGCTGTTACGTACTTGATTTTGAAATCCATAATTTTTACAAGATTAAAGCAGGAACCATCAAATCAATTAAAATCAGGATCTTTGCATTAATGAATCATTCACTTCTTAAAGTTCCAAACATGTTAAACAATAAAGTGACATGAGCCATAACATCAGAAAAGGTGACCAGAAGTAAGAGTACACAAAATTCCCACAGCCCTCTTTTGAAGTTTAAACCTTACTAGATGCCTGTTTACAACTGGCATTTCAGCAAAGCACAAAATATACTTAATAATACAAACAAAATGAATACAGTAAAACTTTGTTATAACGCACTTAAAAACACAGCAGATTTGGACGTAATGCAGGCATAGTCATGTCTTGCAAATTGATTTTATTTACTTCCTTTTTTATTTTTTTTTAATCAATTTTATTCAAATGACTGTCTAGGCATTTACTCTGAGCAGGCAATACAACCTTGCACATGATCGGAGATTGGCTAAGGAGACACCAATGCTTTCCTACTGGATCTACAGAATAGCCCTCCAGTGTTGGAATCAGTGTGGTATGCTGAAAATACCATGCTCAGGCTAAGGTAATTAAATAGATGTTTCTGTAAGCTTCTTGAGGAAGGTGTTATTTCAACTCTCGTGCTTCCTTCATAGTTTATATTTTTTCCACTTTTGGGTATTTTACATTTGCAAAATATTAACATGTGTACCATGAAGAAACACCATCAGCTGTCAGGACAAAAGAAAATATCTCACTAGATATTGATAGTGTGGGTCTTCATTCTGTCTCTCGACACCTGCGTAATAAAATGCTTATCGATTTTCACGTTGAAGCCCACTTTCACTATTACACACTGAAATACATCAATATGGCTGAAAACTGGAATCACATTACAATTTTCAGTGAACTTCTCATATCTAATTACAGGAAACTATGTGCATCAGTTCATGGTATATATGGAAAAGTCTATTTGTTATGTAGATTTTGTAATCAGTCAATAATAGTCAAAAATCAAAACTGCCAAGAAACATTAAATAAAAGTCTCCCCACATGAATGGCTCTATGTGCATGCACTATGCACTTCCACCTTGCAGTTGCATAAATTACCTAGTGAGGCAAATGTATTCTGGAATGTGGACTACCATCTCTCAAGAAAAAGCAGTAGGGGTGCGGTTGAGGTACTATTAAGCATAAATGGGTTGGGTAGCAAACTTACAATCACAATTTGAGTAAAATTTATACAAGGTCATGGCTGGCTATGACTCTCAAGTGTTGATGAAAGTACCTGGGAAAACCCCATTTCATGCAAGATTTTTCAATACATGTGACATCAGGAATCTGGCAGTTCCCGTATTTCTTGCTATAATTAAGTTCCCAACAAAAGCCACATTCATTCTGCCACAACCCCACTGTACTTTAATACACTGCAAATTAAAACTTTTTCATTAGAATAAAATGTGTATCTTACCAAGGGTGAGGTTTGTCACTTCCTGCTGTTTCCCACACAGCTGACTCTGGTACCTGTGATGACTTTGGCCATCCCGTCTTCCACAACTGTAGATGATGGCTATTACTACCACATAAGCAGTGAGAGTTATTTAGCTTCCTTCGCACCACTCCATTCAAAGAATCAGGTCCTAAGCTACTATCAATCTTATTCTCATGCTGAAGGCAAGAGCTATGTTTCAGAAGAGAAGAATTATGTGACACATAAATATCTGTTTGTGGATGACACTGTGCAGAGTTCTTTTTATTTTCCATCCCTGTTGCATCTTCATAGCCGTCTTCCAAAGAATTTAAAATTTTTTCTGCAAAATGATCATCATCTGGAAAGTAGAAATCTTCAGGGTCATTAACAGCCCTAACATCTTGCCTACTTCTTTTTGTATCAACTTCCTCATCACTTTGTAGCATGTCTTCTGCTTCTTCGGTCTGACACCATTTTTCATTCTGACGCACTCTAAACTTTGGTATAAATTCCCTTGAGTTATCATGAATACCAGGTGGATGATCATAGCGGTAGCGACCCCCATATGCTTCTTTCTCTTTATATTCCATGTACTTGTTCGGGGTCTCCAAGCCAGCACCAGCTTCAGCCTCAAGATACAAAGTTCCACTCTCGCTTCTCTTAAATGCTACTTCTTCTAGATTAGTTGGAATTGCAAACGTAGTTCCATCTGCATAACCACCAACATTGTTATTGTTACTAGCATTTGTGCTATGGTGCAGCTCCATATTCTCTGTGTGGATAGGACGAAAATGTGTCCGTGTTGATGTCAACAAATCTTCCTCCTCTTTTTCAGCTTCCGACTTTCCTCCCTTACTAGCTCCACAATCTTTGGTTTCCAAATGATAAACATGTTCAGCAGATATACATTTCTTCTTCTCCTGCACTGTATCAGAACCAGATCGGTCTGCCAACAATCTTCTCAAGGAATTCTGTTTTGGAATGACCTCAGTAAAACTGCTGTCTTCTCTGTTATGATTCAGTGTGGTCAAACTATCATTGAGTACATTAGTATAAATGTTAAGATGACTCCCTATGGAATTATTCACATGACAATGGCCATCAGCAAAAATACCACCAAAAGGCGAATAACTGTCATGTGTGTTTGAGCTCACAACACTGGACCACTTTCCAGTTCCAACTCCTTGTGTAATATCACTTACTGTATAATTTACTGTCCAAGGTAAACTTGTGAAGAGTGAAGAGAAATTATCATACTTATTCCAATCAACTTTAGACCTGTCCTCTGAAGTAGGCACATCACAACACCTGCCAATTTCAAGAACATCCATATCCTTAAACAAAGGACCAGAAAAATTTTTTCCTTCACATTTAATGCCCTTTAACTTTTCTTCAGACTGACACTTATTTCCAACTACTTTTCCTTCTCCAACCACAAGAACTGTGTACTTGTTTTCCCCCACTTCCACATCATTACAGCAGGGGTCCATAGGTCTGATTTTTGAATCTTCAAAATGATCTGATACATTCTGTTGCTCACAATGTGTATAATCCATTCCAAAATCTTGTTCAACAGAATTTTCCTGTGATGGTTGATCAGACCAAATTGAGCTTGTGATATTAGTACCACACTGAATGAATGTGTTACTGGCTGAAAATACATTTTGATTCCGTTTGCTATTCAAGTTGTACAACTCCACTCTAAGATACTGTTCATTTGGAGATGACAGAAGTTGCTGAAAATCCAAGGGTAATTCCTGGTCACAATTTAATGTTTCCTCAGAAGAAAAATTACCTGGCGAAGTAGAGATATCATCTGGATTCCAAAGAGCTTCAATGCTATGATCAAACTTCGCAATTAGTTGAGCAAGATTCTGATCTTCTGTACCTTGTCCAGGAGACTTATGGTGCCACGCACCATCATCTCTTGCAACACAGCCAATCTGTAATTTCTCTTTCTTAGAATCAATGCATCCTGAAGAAACTGAGTGTCCTTTACCAGTCTGCCGCTCATATAACCTCCGACAAACAGCATTTTCTGAACCACCCTCTTGATGTGTTTGGAGTTCTTTCTCTGGTAGCACATTATCATCCACCTTACTGCCTTTGTTCTGTCTGTTACAATGGAAAATTCTCAACATGTCAAAACTGCTGTTCTCATAGCTTACTCCAGGGCAGAAGTCAGTATAGTTTCCATTTCGTTCACTTGCCATGTTCCATGCAAATCCATAGCCGGTTTCCTTCTTACCCTTAGCCTTTTCCTTCATCTGATTACCAGATTTCATGTTTTCTCTGCCCACCTCTTTCCATGAACTATTGTTCTTACCCCTGTTCTCTTTATTTTCCTCTCCCCAACTGGTAGTACCAACCAATAACTTTTCTTCACTTGAATTTGCTTCTTGATCTGATGTGTAACAAGGCCTGTTTTTTCCAAATGAACTGGCAAGAACTTTTTTACCACTCCAAGCAGAACTAGGTTCAGGATTCAGGGTAATAAAACTGCTGCTGTCAACAACTTTGCCATTTAATGGTGGAAAAGCAGCATAATACCTGAGGAAACAGAAGAAAAAAAATATGCCGTTAAAAGTAAGTAACATCTGACCTTTTCCAATCAAAACTACAATACACTCTTTAACAGGTGACTCTCTAAAGCAGTGTTTCCCTATTTAATTTGGCTCTGGAATCCTTTCACACTAAACAAGTTAGACAAGGATATGAGATCAAAAACATGATTTAATTGTACATTCAGATTCTGTATTTCAGCATCCCACTGCAATTCTTCAAATTAGCGTCCATTGTTTATCTTCCATCAAAATTGCAACACTTTTACATTCTACACTTCAAGTGTTGAAGCAACACATTTACATTCTACACTACAGCGATGATGCAATGTAGTCCAGCAGAAGTTTAGCCATGTTTTGGTTTGTATTTCATTAAACCTCTACCAGACAAGTACTCTTCAGTCACTGCCATGAAAACCTCAAATATCACAACTTCACAGCAACACATGATTCTGTGTATTGTGAGGTGGCAAACTACTGCACAGTTTAGTGTGCTGCCATAAAGAAAAGGACAAGAATATTTGCCTCAATGAGGATGATGCAAATGTAGCCCCACAGCTGAAGACTACCTTCACATTACTGTACACTATTATTTAACTTAAATCATCCATGAGTAGGGGTTTTAAATTTCCCGGTACAACAGGATTGATGGACATGTTTTCATTTGAGGCTATAATAGGGTAGAATAAATCAAGAGAAATGAGGATTTTATATCTCCTACTTCTACATGTCTAGCAGCCATAACTGAGGGGGATTATATTACCAATGAAAAAATATAACACTTTGCCTCATAACAATAAATTTCATGCATTACAGATGAAGGTAAAAACGGTTCAAACTGGCAAATCATATCATATCTCACAGCCTCAAATGCAGATCACAGCACCAGTTTCCCATGTGCCAACAGCCTAGCATAACCAGAAAAGATCGCCTGACATGTGAACCCACAAACAGTTTTAGGAACTTCATTGCATCATTTATGACAGCCTACATCCTTAACACACAAGACATGTCATTTCAAGTGTTGGCTCTACCACCATCTTCATGAAACTGGTTATCATACGGACAAATTACAGTAGAACTTGGTTATAACGTCATCATAGGGACCTAAAAATAGTGTCGTTATAAACGAATGTCGTAACCGTAATGGGTACTTCCACAGTAGCCTTATGTTAGTCATGTAAAAATCTACCAAAAACCGAGTTAAAATGTTGCATTTTTTAGTGAAATACGTAGTTAAGTACAGACTAACGTAACATTAACGTGGAATTAATACGGATTCTCCATATCGTTTGTACTGTAGAATTCACCAAACCAAATTCGCGGCATACATCAGCTTTTTTCCTTCCATTTTCTATTTCACGAATCACTTTAACTTTCTCTTCAATGCTTAAAACTTTCCTTTTCATTGCCATGTTTTCGCTACTGCACTTCTCTGGGTTTAGGCAGGAACACTATAGGGTAAGTAGACAATGTGAGGTCCTGTTAGACAAGATTCTAGGAAAGGAATGCAGTTAACAACCTGCCGCGTCCTCCTGCACTATTCACGCAGTCCCACCCCACACCCTTGTTTTCGCATAAAACCCACGCTCCTCTTGCAGCCCGCAGTCGTATTCTTCCAGGACAGTCACGTCAGCAAGTAGAGAAAGTGAGGGTGGGCAGACACATCGAACTTTCCCACGATATCAGAGAAATTCAGGAATGAAAATGACGTTACATACGAGGTTGATGCATTTGTGCATGTCGTACTAAGCAAGGTATAAAAACAGTTGCTTTATGAGGAATTAGTTCGTACCATTGAATATTTGACGCAATAGACAAGGTGTCGCAGAAACCGATGTTGCTATAACCAAGTTTTACTGTATTTACTTATCTAGCAGCAATCAGGACCATACCTTTTAAATAAAAATTTTGTAGGTTAAGCACTCGATCTCTCTGATGAGGATTACAAAATTTCTGTCTCCGAGACATATATGCCACCCTTGGGATTAGTGCAGGTTTTATATCAAGAGTTAGTAGTTATATTCACTAAAGATGGAACAAGCCTCCAGTGTGCAATGTGCAAGACCTTGCATCCTTCAAGCTGTGACAAAGCAACAAGTCTATGACTTCTCAATAAATAGCCAGAACATGGTGGGATGCAGACTGTGTACCCTTTTAACATATCATGCACGCAGCAAGGAGGTTACAAAGTTATTGGAGAATGGCAGATGACATTCAACTTACTTCTGAACTTGGTCCTGAGGTGATGGTGTGTGTAACTGCTTGCTTGGAACAGTTTCTTGTGGCAACTCTGAATGGATGCTTTTCTCACCTAAAACAAGACACACACAGTCCTATGTATGACACCATAAAGGCCCCAGAGAAACATGCTCACTATTATCATGGGTGAGTTAATGGCCACTAGCAGTGAATATTCGTTTTTCTGGGTATAAAGGCACTAGACACTGAATAAATGATATATTATCTCTCTTTACACTAAAATCATAATGATGCTGTATGATATTATGGTAACAGTGAACCGATGGTGTTGCATTCTTTGGTTGCAGATAGTAGTCATTCCACTCCCCACATTTTTCAAACATCCTCAACCTGCTACTGTTCCCACAACTGCTAAGCAGCATGAGTTTGTGATGCAAAACACAATTTGAAAAATAAGATAATCTTGAATTATTTGCACTTACTTTTATCTGTTCCTTCTCTTTCTTACATTAGACAATCACACAGGATGATTCAAATATAACACTTCTGACTTGCACTTGACAGGTAACCGAATCCCAGTCGGGGCACCAGATATAACAGTTGAAATATGTTGTGATTTTCCTCAGACCCTCCCAATGCCATGATATTACCTCAAATCAGGCCACAACTGCTTCATTCAGTATCATAATTCATTATTCATAAAATCATCTTATTACTTAACACTACACCCTCTGAGATGCTGGCACCATTAAACAAACCACTTACTTACTTATTTATTCATGTAGCTGAGCCCTTCTGAGCCGCAAATTCTGCAGCTACTCAAGAATTTCCCAGATTTTATGGAACCCGAAGGTTCATTACCGTGTTCACAAGAGCCCTCCACTGGTCCCTATCCTCAGCCAGATCAATCCAATCCATCCCATTCCATCCTATCTATCTAAGATCCATTTTAATATTGTCCACCCACCTGCACCCTGGTCTTCCCAGTGGTCTCTTTCCTTCTGGCTTTCCCACCAATATCCTATACGCATTTCTCGTCTCCCCCATTTGTGCTACATGCCCTGCCTACCACATCCTCCTTGACTTGATCATTCTAATTATACTCGGAGAAGAGTACAAATTATGAAGCTCCTCATTATGCAGTCTTCTCCAACCTCCTGTCACTTCATCTCTCTTCCTTCCAAACATTCTCCTCAACACCCTGTTCTCAAACACCCTCAGTCCATGTTCCTCCCTTAATGTCAGAGACCAAGTTTCACACCCATACAGAACCACAGGCAAAATTATAGTTTTGTATATTCTAATTTATGTTTTTAGATAGCAGATGAGAAGACAAAAGGTTCTGGACTGAATGGTAGCAAGCATTACCTGAGTTCAATCTTCTCTTAATTTCCTCCTGAATCAGGTTTCAATCGCTTTATCGTTGTACCCAAATATCTGAACTGTGCCACATTTTCAAAACATCTGTTTCCTATCTTTATGTCATGATTTTGCCCTGCATTTTGGTCAAGAGACAGTAATGTCTCATGTCACAATATATTTAGTTTTCTCTGTGTTTACTTCTAGACCAACCTCTTTACTTGTGTCAATTAAGGTCTGTGTTTTTTCTTTATGGTATCTATATTATCACACAGTAGATTCACATCATCGCTGGTCATGGTAGCCAAGCGGTCTAAGGCATGCACTGTCTTCGCTCGTTCGGAAGCTGGGATCGTGGGTTCGAATCCCACTGAGGGCATGGATGTTTGTGTGCGTTTTTCTGTGTTTGTCTACAGGTACAGGCCTTGCGACGAGCTGATCACTCGCCCAAGGAGTCCTACCGTATGTATAAGATCTAGAAAAACCGAAGTGAACGGAGTTCATGGAGGTAGGCCTAGGCCCACTGGGGCTGTAGTGCCAAGGAAAGAAAAAAGATTCACATCACCAGCATACGCCAACAGCTGATGTGTCCCATTTAATTTGTCCCACTTGGTTTCCCTGGACCTTCCTAATGGCATATTCTAAAGCAAAGTTGAAAAGGAGTGGCAATAAAGCATCTCCTTGTTTTAGACCATTCTGGATAGGAAACCAGAAATAAAAGAAATTCATTAGCCTGAACAACAGAATACTCTGTCCATACAGCCATTCTGATTATGGGAAGAGTAAATGTATTGCCTTTAACGCTATCAATTTTAACACGCGTTAATTAAGGTATTTATACATTAAATCGTCAATGAGTATTTGTCAGATACATGCTTTAACTTAATGAAAACAGTTCAACTGTTAGAACTCCAGCACCTACAATCCATAAATACAATTCAATTAATGAGAGCACTTACCTTCACTCTGAATCTCTTTCAGCTTGGCACACAATTCATCAACCAGTTTTTCTATTCCACATTTCTGAAAGAAAGAAATATTTGTGATTTCGTATTTTTCATAGTCTCATCACTTCATTACTGAGTTTTTATATGCTACATCCAAAAAGACCCAACAGTGATGATGGAAGTTATGTAACGCACTGTGTCTATTTAAAACACTTCCTCTCCTCTCTCCACATAGCATCACACTTGGGGGTATGAAGAGAAATTTTCACCAATTTTCTGTTCATGTCTGCCTAGTATTTATACCAATAAAAAGTTAAAACGAGGTGCTCCAGGTAGAACTCATAAAGCTAACTTCCACACTGTAATCTCCCAGTTCTAAAATTCTGTGATGTTAATATTTGAATTTGATAATGTAGGTATCAAACCTAACAATAAAATGCAATTTAGGTCCTGGACTAACTGGAGTTGTGTGCATACCATCATACAATCAAATGGGTGAGTAAAATTGTTATCACTTATTATTGCAGACTACTACTATGTTGCTACAACATCACTACTACTACTACTACTACAATCACCACCACCACGACCACGCCCACCACCGCTGCCACCACCCCCGCCACCGCCGCCGCCGCCGCCGCCGCNGTGTGATACACTGATGTTTAGAAATAAGAACAGGCTTTCACATCATCTATACTTGCAGCTATTTCAAAGTAATCCCATAAAATACTGCTAGTTTCTCTGAGCAGCTGCACTTACTCCCAAGCAGCCTCAGCATTTCTACCAGGCAATTCCATGATGTGGCTTGGCAGTCAAAATGATAAACACAGTTTCTGCCTGTGATACATCTACTGAACATAACCGAAAAGATTCACACTAATGCCATGTTTGTAACTGTTGGCATATAAACATTATTTCATATCAGATTTGTAGGTATGCTTACAATCTATCTCGATACCAAATTTCAAATGCCTAAAACTGATGGTTCATAATTATAAGCATCAAAACTAAAGCAAAATATATATTTCACAATCACCACGATGCTAGAGTTCCAACTTGCAAATCTGTGCATTCGCCATGTTGTCATCAGCTGCAAGAAATTAACATCTAGTTATGAGCAAGAACTCATTTAGTGTACTTCACACTGCAATGATGCCTAGTTCTACAATTCCTGTACAGTTAACATATTTAGATAACATATATATTTATCCAACAATAAAATTCACTTTGGCTTATAAACTAGCAAGCTGGATTCCTTCACAGAAGGCCATAAGATCAAATTCTGGAACAAATTGTGGGATGTCATTATATGAAGAGACAACCACTTGCTGAACTGTTCTATAATATCTATTATAATAGATATTATAGAACAGTTCAGCAAGTATGCAACTATAATTATAGTTGCATAGCATACAAAGATGAACTTGAAGAATTGAAGACTAACGGTATAGACCCAACAATATTACTGCTTGTAACACCCACATCACTACCTCTCTTAATTGTCACAGTAAGAGTCAAAGTTACTTTACGACTGGCACTTTTACCGCCAATCAGTTCATCTTGGCATCAGGCCCCTTGTGGCCCACAACCACATGTTTCTTTTTCCATCTGAACTCTTGTGGTAATAGTCCTTATGTAACATCCTCACTGAGGAGAAGAGGGGTTTGTCTCTTATGAATACACCTGATCTTTCATCAAGTGTATATTTCACACATATAACATGTTATCGAAAATTCTTCCTTTTGGACTAAACACTAGTCCTCTGTCAGTACAGGCTTTACAGAGCAGATAATGCCTAACTTACATATCTTATGCTACGACGACAACTTAAGTCATTTGAACAGTCATAAGTTTGACCAAGTTTAAGCCTCTTGTATTTTCTGTGTCTGGCTTCACCTTGTCCTATACCGTGAACAGGTTCATTCTCATGTTATTTTATGACTTCTGCTTGTAATCTGCACAATTTTGTTATATAATCATATACATATGGAAATTCTGAAACCTGTGTGCAAGTCGTGGACTTGCTATATCTTCCTCTTATATAACATTGTGTCAGATCGCATACAAAACACATCACTGCCTGTACTGTTGTGGTCTTTGCCTAGCAATGGTTGTTTACTCACTGTTGATAAGCAATGATACTTCTGTTGTCACTGTAACATTTGCTTGAATGTGGGCAGTTCCCACAAAACCAATTTTTATTGCTTTCAATCATAATATCACAGATTATTGTTATTATTATTAAAATTATGACTTTATACTACTTTCATTAGTATTTAAAGTTGCAACCCAAGCAATTCTGGAAATATGTGGCCTCCTTTAGGAAAAGAAATTCAAATTTCATCCAGCTTGAGGTTGATGGTAAGCATTTAATCGAACCTCATGACACTGCTGATGAATTTTCAAAATATTTTCAAACAGTGTACCACAATCCTGGTCCTACTGTCTTTCCCAACCTATTGTCATCTTCCGAATTCTTACCTTTAGCGTCTGTTTCTGATCCCGATGTTATTAAAGCTATTAAGCGCCTGAGACCATCTAAGTCTGTTGGAGTCGATGACATCCCTGGATTCATTATTAAGGGTTGTACTGATATATTTGTACCTATTCTGAAACACATCTTTAATCTAAGCTTATCTCAACATTACTTTCCCTCCTTATGGAAGCAAGCAGCAATTGTCCCTGTCCTCAAGAAAGGCAAAAGCACCTCTGTTAGCAACTATAGGCCTATATCCTTACTGAGTAATTTTTCTAAAATATTCGAATTTACTGAAGAAAGCAGTCTTCTGGGATTTGGCACCGTGTATATGTGGTGTTAACCACATTTATTGTTCATGAACATGTTTCCCGTTATCTAAAATAAAAAATTAGTCCTTATCAGCACGGCTTCTCTAAAACAAAATCCACAAGCACCAATTTGGTGACTTACATTGATTTTATCTCCCCTATAGTTGGCTCTCAGATGCAAGCTGATGCCATTTATTTTGATCTGAGCAATGCATTCGACCTTGTCCCACATTCTCTTCTTCTTCACAAGCTAAGTGCTGCTGGGCTTTCTGGTGGTTATGTTAGCTGGTTTCGCAGTTACCTATCCAACCGAAAATCCCAGGTCCGTGTTTCTGGTGTTCTTTCCTCACCTTTTGAAGTTCTCTCCGGTGTACCTCAGGGATCTGTCTTAGGACCCCTTCTCTTCAATGTGTTTATTAATGACATGTGTGATGCAGTTGCCCATTCTAAGTGTCTGCTTTTTGCTGATGACATCAAAATTTACCGAGCCATTAGTTCCCCTCATGACTGCTATCTACTACAGTCTGACGTTAACTCTATACAAGGTTGGTGCATTGCAAACTGTATGAAACTCAACATCAGTAAAACTAAAGTTATATCCTTCACCAGGAAAACCAACTTACTTATCTACGATTATAAACTTTTTCAAACGTCAATAGCCCGGACCGATTCTGTAAAAGACCTGGGAGTGTTTATTGATGCTAAGCTATATTTCCATGACCAGGTCAATTACATTTTCTCTCAATGTGCGAAACTATTGGGTCTAGTTCGTAACATTACCTACAATTTCTCTTCGCTAGACTGTATGTTCAGCTTGTACACTACGTTAGTTAGGTCTAAGCTTGAATATGCGTCCGTAGTCTGGAATTCGATTACGTCAACTGATGCCAAGAAGCTGGAACGCATCCAGCAGAGGTTTGCGGCCCTTTGTTTTAAACGTTTCTTTCCTCAAGTTCATTACAATTATTCTCTTGCTCTTGAGGAGTTAAAATTACATACTTTATGTACTAGGAGACATCGCCTTGATGCTCTCTTTCTTATTCAAGTTTATTTTGGCTCTAAATTCTGCCCTTCTGTCCTGGAAATTGTTGGTCTCTGAGTTCCTGCTCGGTATATCAGAGATTTTGCATTGTTCAATGTTTACTCCTTATTTAAAAATTGTCCCTCTGCTAGATGCGCAGCAGCTGCTAATGCTGTCTGCAGGGATGTTGACGTATTCGGAGCCAGGAATGTTCTACCCAAACAAATTTTAAATATAGTAAACTGTTAGTATTTTTATTAAATATTTATGTTTCATTCCATATCAGCTATTTGTTTGTTTACTTTTACTTTTATTCATTATTATTTCTTCCAAGTACTTACTTGTAATTTGTATGCGACTTTTAATAAGTTTGACTATAATGTAATTCATTCACCTGCACTGTGCTCTGTCTGTAATTGGCCTTGCGGCTGTTGACTCGGCACATTAATAATGAATTGAATTGAATTATTACTTGCTCTGTGGATAACAGAATTACTCAGTACAGATTCTGCCTATATAAAATTTGTCATACAAATGGTCAAAGTTTCACATCATCACCACATTTGTAACTGCTGACTTATTATCCATACTTCACACATATTACATACAGTCAACTCTCGATTATCCGGGGGCGGATTAACCGGTTTGCGGCTTAACCGGGGCTTTTTTTTTTAAGTTTATATGTTGTTTAATATTCATTCACTTTTGTTTCACATGGTGAGTTTAACACTATTTTCGCACTAGTGTGAACCGAGCTCTGCATTATTTCGTCCCGTTATGCGAACACAATGTTCTAGGGTGGGGGTGAAAGAATGCAAGAATTTTTGGAAAGTTTCAAGGACAAATACACCGCCCCAGGTTATTTAACGGTACCATCTCAGTGTGAGAGTGCATTGTGAAAGTAAGTATCAGTTTCTTAATATAGATCTTCAAGTGCGTTAGCAAAATGTCGGGGTTTAAAAGGAAGCGTGTTGTGTTAAGTATTCAACAGAAACTTGAAATTATCAATCAGCTGGAAAAAGGAGCTGTAGTTAAACAATTAGCAATGCAATACGGTATTGGAGAACAAACTGTTCGTGATTTGAAAAAACAAAAGAATGAGTTAATTTCCTTTGCTTCGTCTTCTAATTCAAGCGGAATGAAGAAGAGAAAAACCATGAAGAAATCAACATACGATGATCTCGACAAAGCGATGCTGACCTGGTTTAATCAACTAAGGGCACAGGGAACAACAATAACAGGACCAGTTTGTGCTAAACAAGCTAAAT